GTATTTGGGGACAATGACATATTCAGAAAATTGTATGTAACCAAAGACATTGCCTTTTTAAAAATAACCTTATTCTGCATTGTTTGGGGAATCACTGTTGAACTTATATAACATCATGCACATGCAGCTACAGACAAATACAGTCATACTTTCAGTTTACTAAGTAAACCGAAGGGATTAATTCTGTACAAATATAACTAATAAATTACTATCAGAAACATTTACAGATGTATTTTAATTAGTCTTCTAAGAACATTAAAATAAAGACAATATTTCTTGCTTAATTTGTTTCAAATGAAAGTATCTGTCCCTGCTGACAGGACTACCCCTGCCACTTCCAACAGCTCAATGTGTGCGTATCTCTGGCCATGGCATTTATATGAGTAAAACCACTGTAAATGTTACCCATATCTATCAAATAGGAACTGTAGCTTTGCCCGCTTTATAAAATCTTTATTTGAATGCCACAGAACACTCTTTTCTATGTCAGCATTAAAGACATAACTATTTGAATAATCACAAAATTTCCCAGGCACAGCTTCAGCCTAGAGCACAAACTAGTACCTGTTATTTACCTCAAAAGCCCAAACATCCAGAGCAGCATGGATCCTGTTTCTACCCTGACGTGCAATAAGGACTACTAATGCTTATTATGCCTTTGACTCCACGTGTATTTTCCTAGCTGTGTTGAGCTCAAATCTTCCCCGCTACATAGGCAATTTTGGTCCAACTAAGCAACGTGTTTCAAGGGTACATCGCTCTGGCAGGAGCAATCGCTGGCTTTGCCTTTTTGCAGCACAGCACAGGCGCTGTAGCCCCGGTGGACTTGAATAAGGATATACTTGAAACTCAGTTTAAACCGAGTTTACCTTCTCCCAAAGAACAGTCTCTCTATAGGACGAGAAAAACACACCAGGGAGCAGAGCTTCTCCTCCCTGCTGCTCCCACCCAGCGCTCTGCCCAGGCAGAGCCAGGGAAGAAGACACAGGACAAAGTAGGATTTTGCAGATTCAAGTCACGGGAAATAAACACTAATTGTAATGCATGGAAACCAGCACACAAGTGCAGCAGGTAACAGTCTTTTCAACATCTCTGAGAAAAGATAGATCTGATCACCACTTCAAAGTGTTGCAGATAGCAGCATCACTTTTATGAACGTTAAACTTTTCTTCTGGCAGCAAGGGAAATCAATGCCACCCTGTGTGGAAACATCAATATAAATGCTCAAAAATCATAATATTAACATTTCAGAGTCTGAGGGACTCTCATTTGGAAACAGTTTCTGCAACAGCCTTTGCATTTTAAAAAATATATAAATCAAATTTTATCACAGAAAAAGTTTTTTAAAACACAAGGTAAGCTGAAAGACAGACTTTTAGGGGTTTTTATAGCAAACTCAATTCCCCTGTGGCCTTTTAACCCAACTGCACGGGCACTGAAAATGACTGTAGAAGCAGTAAAAATCTATTTAATTGATTTTTATTGTTCAAACTAAAGGAAATGCTTTTGTATGTAAAAATAACAGCACTATACAGCTACCATAGGAATGTTTTGAAATTCCAGTTTAAACAGTAACAAGCCATTAGATGTGCTTTTCAGACAGACATAAAATTATACTGTATCTGTAAGTTCTACAGCACTAAATCATGTTATTAAGAAAAGCCAAACCAATTTCTGTAATTTCCCTACATCTCCTAAAAATAAAATGCATCTTGAATTTGGTAGACTAGTAATTTGGAGGAAATATGGTGAGACAGACCATACAGTTTTGGCCTGGGGAAAAAAAGAAAAAGAAACAAAAGACACAAACCGTAACAGACCAGGACCCAAAGCAAGAGTCTTCTCAGCATACCCACAAAGAGAGCTTAGACTAGATAGCACTGCACCACCAGACCTGGCATCACCAGACCTTCAGAAAGATATCATCCTCTGAGAAGGACACTCAGAAATGGAGACCACTGAAACGAGTATGGTGTGCAGAGATTAAAATGCAATTTTCCCAATATAAAGTTTCCTTTACCCAGTTGTCATGGCATATAGAAAATACACTACTTCTACGTTCAAATCTGTATGCTTCCCCTCCTTCAGAAATGACGTCCTCTGGCAGCCCCTTCTTTCAAGCTATCACACGAAAAAGACAAAATCATGAACTATATGTCACTTTTAATTTTTCAGAAGTCCTATAAAATATTACAACCAACCAATTCGTGTTTCTTTTGCTTTTAATATTCCTGCCCACATACAAATGCTCCTGTAGGGCTAATTGGATAACCATGACATTAAATAAAGAAAACCCTCCAAATTAATCTAATGCACAGCTGTGATAGAAAAGTAAAATAATACGCCCTATCCACAAATAATCCAGAACTTTATTTCCTTCATTTAAACCAAGGCATCTTTACATGGTTTGCTGGAAAAATTCATCTTTTCAACTTCGGTTTGATTCGGGGTTTTCCTTTTGTCTTCACATTGATCCCTGACGGCAATGAAAGGCGAAATGCATGCAAAGGTTGGTCAGTCACACAAAATGCTCTTTAGTTATACTGTTAACCCTACAAGACCTTGCCTAGCCCACTGAATTTTAATTCCGAATTGGAAATACTTAGCTGGTGGCAAAAGGCAATTCTTCTTTTGACATAAAGTACATACTTTGAGAGCCTGTTTAAAATTCACTTTTCCATCATGAAAGCACTCAAAAGCTGAAGTTCCTCTATTGCCCCTCCAAAAAGATGTCTCAGCTGTACCAAAGAGAAAAGGAAACATTAGGCTGTGGATTCAAATTAGCTGTCAAGAAACACAAACATAAATCTGATTTAATAGCGTAATTTGGAAATGTGTTCTGGGCCCACCCTTGGCAGTAACACGAGGGTTTAACTCACGTTGTAGCAATATTTAAAACAGCTCTGCAACTCTGGTTCTCCACCCAACTAAACAAGAGAAAATTATGTCATTAAATGAAAAACACCACACATATTTAAGCAAGAGAAACCATCTAAACTTATGACATTTTTCATCTTCATTTTTTTTTAATCCAAAAGATTTGTACAGCATTTTTTTTTAAATAACTTACAAGATCAAAAGGAAAATAAATGCATAGCTTCAAAACCTTAGAATATAACCTTCCCTTGTTGAGGAAGAGTTCGAAGTCATAAAGTGCTGCAGATATGAACACACATCAGACAAATAATCTAGTAACTAACTTATTTTTCTGGTTTATTTAACAATATTCCAGTCTTAGAACATTAAATAAAAAATCTCACAGACAATGGGTAGGACTAACAATGGCTTTGTTCTTTTTTTTCTTTTTCTTCTCCTTTTTTTAAAAGAATGCTGAGACACATCAATTGAACCGACTACAGTTTTATTTTGGATACCAAAAAATAAAAGGAAGCTGGAAGAGAGTAGTGCATTGCACTGGTCTCAGTAAAACTGCTTGTAAGCATCACTGCATACATTTAGCCCTAGGAGGAGGAAGATGGAAACAGGAGATGGATGCTGGTCAAGGCGGGTAGGCTGAACACAGACCAGGAGAGAGGTGCTCTAGGCTTTGAATTACGCTCATGTAAGAGGATCCACACGCCTTGCTCTAGAATTTACGCAGCTCCTTGAGGGCCAGCAGTGGTGGTAGCAGGTAGAGGTGGTGCAAGCGGATGCAACCAACACCAACTGGTATTCAGTGGATGTAAAAACCAAGAGGTCTTCCTGGTAGACTGCAGGGGTGTCACAGGAGGTCAAGTAACATCAAAAAAGGACCTGCTGTATCTCGCTCCCTTTCATAATTTGATCTTGCTACCCTCACAGACAGCCTACATACCTGTGGGAGTTTAGGCCAAGCCTGCGTTTTGCACCTTGAGCAATCACACACACATCTTCAGTGGACATGGAGAGTAGCAACATTCAGTGGGATGCACTATGTGTGTACTTTGTACAACTGCAAAAAAATTTTAGGGGGCTGGAGAGTGAAAACCCAGGCTTACTGACAGGCAAACACAGGCCACATCACCTCTTAAATGCATTTTTTCCAGGCTTAAATATGCCAGGTAGTTCACTACTGTTTATTTCACTGCTTCTTTATTCCAAACTCTGACCTTCCTCCCCACCCACTCTCCCCTTTCCACCACCTACAAGGAACAGAGGCCTCAAACTTCCAAAAACTATTAAACCAAAATATAAACAAGCAGTTTGGCAATAGATTCAATTCTACTGCAATGCTTATTTCTATATGTTCCTCCTGGCTGGGCCCTTTCTACAACCAAATGTCTATGGGTATCACCATGATGAAAAAACCCAACTTTCTTCATCCAGAATAGTAATGGCCAGGCTTCAACAGACCTCTGCCCAGAAAGACTGTGCTTGACATAGTGGGGGGCAAGACGCCAGTAACAAAAATAAAACCCTAAGCAAGCCTTGACTATAACCGGACAATGGCAAGAGTTCTCCTCTGCACCTCAGGGAAAAATGCTGGCTACCATCCCACTCTGTGCCAAGCGTGAACTCTAATCTCATTTATAACCTGCAGTATTTCATAAGAGATGGGGGGCTTGGGGTTGGGTTTCTTTATTTTTTTCTTGTTTACCAAGTTCTCAAAAGGGCTTGAAACACTTAGCCATAGAGACACAAAGGGAGCAATTACAATACACAACAACTAATTGGAAACAGTACTCAAACATCAGACAGGACAGGACTAAAGTCCACTCTACAAACTGAATCAAAAGAGATAGGAGAAAAAAAAAAAAGAGGTTTTTAAGTGCTAATGTAGTAAGAAACAATCTTAAAGACTTACTAAATACATGTGGGGAAATGGAGAGGTCCCCTTCTTTTAAATATATTTACATAATGTTAAAGCTTTTCATTTTGCTTTTCTTGCCAACAGAATTTTCTAGCTACCTCGGGCAAAGTCCCCATTTAAATTAAGAGGTTAAGGATTTTATAACATAGACAGACTATTAGACCCACTGCCCATACACACCTCCCTGCCCTGTCCCTCCCTCCCTCCCTCTGCCGCTGAGGGGTCTGATGCCTTGCCTGCTTCACACCATGTGGCATCAGCCATAAAGTCGGCACAAAGTGAAGGTAACAAAAGACGCCTCGACCCTGCGCGCTTCTTTACCTCTTTGTAAAAGCACAAGAGACTACAATCAGGGCTTGCCTAGACATACACACACACAAAAAAAAAAGTTTTTGCCATTTAGCTGCTGCAGTTAAATAGTAAAACCAGACTAATGTGGACACAGCAATACCAGTTTAGAAGTGTTTATACCATTTACACTGCTCTGGAAAGGAAAATAACTTATCCCAGTATAAGTGCATCCACGCTACAGCCTATGCCAGCACAGTATCAGTTAAAATAGTAATACATCAGTCTCCTAATTGACAGAATTATACCAGCTGAACTTTTCTAGCATAGACCAGGCCTAAGACATGAGGTAGTGAAAAAGAAAATCAGGCTCAAGATCTTTTTTCATTCCATAGTATCGATATACTCTAAAAATATTCACTGCTCAGATTTATGGATTTTAAAAATGTTTTAAAATCCAAAATTTAAAGCTAACATCCTGAGTCACACAGGATTTACAAACAGAGGCATAAATCTTAAAAACTCCCTTGCTCGGGGTCCTAATTCAGGAAATACTTTTATGATAGAAAGCACATAAGCATGTGTTTCTCTCCCACTGAAGCAAGTGGAAAGGAAGCACATGGATAAGTGCTTTCTGAAATCTGGGCCACAGTCAGAAATCATGGTCTTTGTAGAATTTATTTCCTCATTCATTTCAGCGTTGTTTAATCACAAGTCATTCATGTTTTAAGACAGTGGGAAAAACACAGACAATGGAAGCTAAATCAAGTTTGTTACAACTGTTCAATATTTACAGCATTCATAGCATAAAACAGAAGTATTTTTGGTAACTTAAGACAAATACCTTTTTTCTTTGTTATTAAACGTTCTGCAGCAGTCCTGTTAAACAAACCCACTGTCTCGGATATTAAAGAAGTTGTTGTTTACATTTACCGAATCATTTAAATTAAAAATCTGTTCCTGTTCCAAACCCCACTCTCCTTCGTCTTCATCCTCCGGTTCTGCCTCAGACCCATTCCGACTGTTTTCGTACAAAAAGATCTGCTCATCCACATGAGCTGGGGCTAACCGGTTTCTCTTTGCACTTACAACATTAGCAGAAGAACCAAAAAGGCGTTCAGGGAAGACCCTTGTGGCCAGAATACACCAGTATTTTTGAAGAACCTTTGGTAAAACTGGAAACAGTGCTAGTCTATCAGACCACCACTTCAGTGGGTCTTCATTCAAACCAAGGACCTTTTGTGACTTGAAGTTGCTCAACTCCTCAACAATCTGAGCATGCCATTCCTCCTGGTCTTCCACACCTCCTGTCTGGCAGAAGATCTCTGCAAGCATGTTGTTGATGACACTGGTAGGAGGAGGAGTCGAGGAGATGATGATTTTTTTCACAGGGGGCTCTTCTGAAACAGTGAAGAATTTCTCTTCAGTCCTAAAGGTATTTTCTTTTACTTTCTCCAGCAGGCTTTTTGCTTCTTCCACCACTCTGTTTTCAACCTGCTGCCGCTCAAAGGCTGAAAGAAAAGGCAATTTTTTGTAGCGGGGATCCAAGAAAGTTGCAACATTGAGAAACATGTCTATCTCAGGTGTGTGCTGGTAGGTGGTTGATAGCTCTTTGGCAATCACCTCCTTTGCCATGCTGATTTCTTTCAAATCATTCTCTTTGATGTTCAGGGTAGTATTCAGAAGCATGTGGAGAAGTGGCTTCACCATACTTATCGTCGGGTACTTTGAAGCAGACATCATCTCCGCAACCTGCTTGAAAGGCTGCAGCAACTCCACCAGCCCTTCGATTGTATTCCACTCACTGGCTTCCAGCATGAGGTGGTGGTTGTTGCTGTCCTCCACGAGAACAGCCGCAATGACAAACTGCTGCTCCTTGAGGCGCTGCAGCATAGCTAGTGTGCTTCCCCACCAGGAAACACGGTCGCTTACCAACATGCAGTGGAGAATATTCTGCTGCTTCTGCTTCTCGCTCAGCATGTACATCGCGACCGTAGATTGCTGAAAATACTCCACCAGTTTTCGGCACCTGGCAAGAAGGCTGCACAGTTTGGGGAGCTGAAAAGCTTGTTGTATTCCTGCGTTAAAAGTGTGCCCCAAACAAGGCATCTGTACGGGAATATCTAGCAGAGAGCAAGCTTTCACAATGTCTTTACTGTAATCTGTTGTAGCACCAAAGACTTTTGTATTGATCCCCCACTCAATGAACGTTTCATAAAGGACTCGCGTAATAGTCTCTGCAGTATTATCCTCCGGTACTTCAAAAGTTTTTAAACACCGCGAGTTCACCGCCAGGCAGTTGGCAGGACTGCTGCTGAGAAAGTGAACCGCGATGGTTACGTACGACCTGTTCTGGTTTTCACTCCTCCACATGTCTGTGGATATGCCACACCACAGAACCTCGGTGAGCTCCTTCAGCACAATTTCTCTAATGGCACTGTACTTTTCAGGAATAGCTTTTGTACAGAAGTACTTCCGGCTCGGAAGTTCATACCTGGGGTCTGCTGTTCTCAAGAGGGCCTTGAAGGTGGGTTCATCAACAATAGAGGCTGGATACATGCCCTCACAAATTAAGCTGATGACTGCAGATGTCAGCTCCTGATGCTTTTTGTTTTCATAGTTCTGGTAGGTCTTCATGATAAGGCTATCTTGAACAACCTGCTGTGATGACTCTGGCTTGATTTTTGAAAATGCGGTGGCAAAGGCTTCCCTCATTTGCTCAGTGTTACTTTTCACAAATTCGCAGAATTCGTCGGGGTGATTTTTCTCAAGGTGGTAGGAAAGGTTGGATGTGTTTCCTGAATAGGCGATTTGTGCCATGCAAATACGGCAGTAGATCTTCTTCCACTGTAATATGCATCCTTCTGCATTGGTATCAAACCCAAAGTACTTCCACACTTTACTCTTTGCTCTTGGGTGAGCCACTAACTTTAGGTCTGATGGGGAACCTTCTAAACTTTTATTCTCCATTGCTTCTTGGCCACCGTCCCACCTTTTGATCCTTCACTCATTAATGAGTACCTGATAAAGGCAGTAAGATAAAGATACAATGAGAAAGCACAAGTTTGACCACACTTAACTACGTGAAATCAGCGTTTCTGTGAACGTTATCAAGAAACCTACCTTACTAATTACATTTGCAAATTTAAAGATGAGATTTGCAGGAAGTGTGACCTACAAGAAGCCCATCAGAATGTCAAAAATTCAAAAGGGTTTTAATATATCACATTCTGCTGTGAAACTCAGCTACAAACCCTCAGTAAATCTTGTTTCTGGAATTACATAATTCTGGGTGAAAGTGTAACCACCACTACAGAGTTGATACATTACTGTCACACAAGCCGGTCATCTGCTACAGCATTTTCCTGCCTCTTAAATTATAGTTAGGGCCAGACTAACATCCTCTTGCCTAAGAATTACTGAACTTCACTGTTAACATTTATTTCAAATTGAAACCTGATACTGAAGGAGCAAAGGTTTTATTGTTTGTTTATTTTGAAAGAAGCTTTGTTAGCCTGATCTGACTGTTCCAGCATTTGCCTTTAAAAAAAAAAAATTAAAATCTGTGATGAGTAGTACAGCATTAATCTGCTCCTCTGAAATGTGAAGGTGTTTTCTGACTGAAACGAAAGGAAAATGATCTTGAACCTATATGCAGATCAACAATACGCATCTGACACCTTTCCTGTCCTTCTCCTGAAATCAAAGCCATCTCCTGAACAACTAGTTCACAGTCACGGTTCCTGGAATAACAGTGCATTATAATTACAGGAAAAGCAGACAGGGAAGCACTAATAAATGTTATTATCCACATCAGCTGGAGAATAATTTTGCTGCATTTTCTTCAAAAGGGTACAGAAGTCAGGAGGGGGTGACACTTTGGAGATGAGGGTGGCGATAAGGCAAGACTTAGCAATCTGTACCTCAGTATCTGCACAGGAAAACGCCTCTTGTGCAAACAGTCACATGCAAGTCTCTGTGCACAGTGCCGGCAGCTGGAACCCACCAGAGCTGATTTCACTACACCAAAAAGCCAAGCCACAGCACAGCACGACTGCACGCTGACACTTCTTCCATTTTTTCCCACACCACCAGACGGGCCACCGTGACGGCAACAAGCCCTTCGCCAGGGGCCTGGCCAGGATTGGGAAGGAAAAGGAAGTCATCAGTTTAACACGGACGCAACCTCCTCCACAAAAATGCAGGGGGAAGAGAGCAGAAGAGAAACATCAGGAGCATCCCTGCAGCAAGCCTGAAAGCAAATGGCACTGCTCCTTCGCTGCTCGTCAGGAGCTGCACCTGCACCCAAGCCCAGAAATTCCCAGGTGGTAAGACTGGCTGGTTGGGGGAGGAAGAAACAATCTGACTTTTTCATATTGCTGCAAGGGAATATCCCCCCCCAAAACATATGCGTGCAAGCTTTTCTGGTGTGCTTTTTGCTGTTGAGGAATATTTCCAAGAAAAGACATTTTCTCTCCAACTATAGCTGGTATTTTGCAGCACTTTCCAAATGGCTTGAATGAAAAACCAAAGACAGGTTTACCAAGACTAAAGATATTTATTTAAGCACAGCTGTTGGTTTAGAAGCAGAATGAGAGATGCAGGGCAAGCATTTTATTGGATTTGTTCTGAAGATTTACTTCTGCGTGTAGACTTTTTTTTTTTTCTGAGGGGGGCAACATTCTGACTACTAGCATGCCCTCTACTGTGATTCATTCAGTGCCTTTTAAGTTGCCAGGATAGACTATTGATTTAACACAGTAATGCTGCCTAATTCCAAAGATGTGCATATCAACAGAACCAAGGTATGCCATCCTACAAAAAATGGTGATTTTAAAAGACAAAGTCATGTAATGTATAATGATGTAACCCTGCCATAGCATCAGACTGTGCATTGACAAGATACGTCGCATCAGTACTTCATATTATTGCATTTAGATCCCTCCAATCCATGACATAATGTCTTGAAGAAGTATAGAGGCTCCCAGTATTTCATTAAATCTTACAGTTTCCTTTGCAGTTACGTGGCAATTCCTGAAAGCAAAGAGGAAGGAACTGTAATAAGAGTTGATGCATCTTTAATATTTAAAATTAGTATGACACACCTTGGATCATAAAAGGTTCATCACAGACTGATAAAATACAATTTATTTTAGAGCAAGGGAGTATTACAGACTCACCCCACCCTTCATTCTTATGTATGATACAGCTTTGCCATCGTTTTGAGATGGATCTGGCACTTGGCAACAGTGGCACAGAGTAGCATTGCCACAGTTAAAGATATGCCAGCATAGCACAGCCCTTATTATAATGCTGTAAACCACACTTCAGCTGTCATAATAGCTCAAATATAAACTGCTAATCAGCCCTGCCTCTCCTCAAGTGTTATACGGCATAAGTGGCACTATGAAAAACAAAAAAAACATGCCACACCTCTCATTTTTCTCTAAGAAAACGTTAATTTTTTCTCATTTGGTGAAAGTGTTCAGAGCCTGGACTTTGCAAAAACCAGAGCGGCTTCAACTCTGAGCCAAACTGAAGACACCAGCACCTTGCTGAATGAAATCCACTGGGAACTGAAGCACCTCAGCTTGTTAGAAATGGCAGCTGATGGAAATGCTCTCTTTTAGCTTGTCGAACTTTCCATGGTAAAAAAAACTAGTGCCAATTTAGTTTACTGAAAACCCTTCTGAACACAGAAGCCTTCAGGCTATAAACGTGCCTCTTCCTTTCTCCCTTGCATTCCCACCCACACTGAAATGGAGCGCACCTTTGGAGAGGCTGCCGTTTTCCTCACCTCCTCCATGCAGCTGGTCAATACCACCAGCCAGCGCTGGGGCTCAGGCTTTTAAGCACCTGCAGACAGGATCCTCTGCTGGCCTCCCAGCAGACTCACATCTGCCACAAGATGAGAAGGAAGGGCTCAGGTTTCCTGGATAAACTCTCCCAACGCAAGACTCTCCCATGACTCCCCTCTCCAAAGCAGGGCTTGGGCTGAAATACTGAAACGCCAGTGACGACATGCGTTGCAGAAGGCAGCGGTGCTACCCTTGCACCAGGCAGGGCTTGGCTGCTCCAGTAGCAAAGAAAATAGGTTCAAAACCCGTATGAGAGAGTCACTGGGATTGTGAAACTGAGCACGGGGATATGAGAAAACATGGAGCGTGCAGTCACCCCACAACTTTAGCTCTGCCCCCTTGTGCACACACAGCGATGGCACCCTCCCTAATTACACCGTATGTATCGTTGTCGCACAACCCTTGCCTCATTCAATACAGGGGCAACCATAAAACAAGTGTTTCCTCACTTCTGAAACTACCTAAATAACTCTCTCAGGTGTGTGCGTGGGGGAGAGGGATTAATTAGTAGATGCAGCTTTACTTTTGCCTGAGATCAATCCTTCCTACCCAGTCACTTCTATACCCACCTCTGGATGTTTTACAACCTGGAACTCGTACAGCTTTGAGCAGGAAGTGCTTGGTCTATCATTATGCTTTACTCATATAAAGTAAAAGCCCTCGATACATGAATCAGAATTAAGAGATGCATGTTTCCAAATTAACATTTCACGATTAGTTGTAAAGAAACTCGGTACAAATGATGACACTGAATAACTAGAAATTGGAGCAAATTAAAAATACGTATGAAATTTCAATCACTTTTAAGAACAGGAGTCATAGTTAAGGTCTTCTGAACTTCAGCCACATTACCACCTTCTCCAGAGTCAGTTTTCTACACATCACAGGTACAAAATTTAACTATGACTTCAAAACTATAAAACACCCAGCATTTAATCTTCCCTGCCAAATTTCAATGAAAAACATACAGTAGAAGGAAAAAATGCAGGAAGAAAATGCCAAATAAACTCCCTGAGAAGCTTTTAAAATACCCTAAAGAGATTATATTATTATTATTATTATATGAACCATTTATGTTATCAGTAGGATGACTTTCAGTGACCACATTTCCAGTGTTAATATCCATGTGTCACAATTAATATTAGTTTGATTTTATCAACCCACTGATTAGATTTTTGTTTTTAAAAAGTTGTTTATATCAAGATCTTTAGTCACGCAGGACTTTTTTTTTTCCAATTAATTACGATTAAGCACTGTAAAAAAACCCATCTGAGCAGTAATTGTTCAGACCACTGAACACTAACACAGTTTACACTACATATTGGCAGTTAAACCGTTTATGAGTTTACTGCCTGGAAAAATGTTTGAACTTAAAGATAAGTTCCCCTTTACTTCTGCGCACTGATTTTAGTTAGCAAAACAATCACTGACTGCACGCCATTTATCCTCCTAGCTCTGCATTTCCCTTTCTGAGCTTCAGACCAACTTCCCTACTCTGTATTGGGGGAGAGGCTCACTTAAGTAGCGAATATTTCTATCTTTCAGTTTGCAAGTCAAAACAATTACCAAGTTTTTGCACTGAATCTAGATTACAGTGCTCAGACCACCCTCTTTCCCCAAAAAAGTCTTGAATCCCATCTATGAGAATTAGAGGAAGGACGTGACAGAACAGATGGTCACTTTTAAAAGCCAGGTGAAAGCACATGTGCCAAGACCATGCAACTCTACGTCAGGGCAAAGAAAAAGTAAAGAAAAATGAAACTAATTTGGTTTACTTGGATTGAAATCCTGAACGCTTCTTTCCAGCAAGTGCAACAAAGCAAGCTTTTCTTGGAAAATCTGGAAGCAGAAGAGCTGCAGTCACCAGACCCCTTCACTTGCCCACAGAACTCGAGGACAAGCCACCGGGCATCCCTCTGTTTTATACCTTCCACAGTAGAGCTGCACCGCTGCTGCATGGAGTGGCAACTCTGACGGGGGAACTGGGGCCAAGGAGACAGGACTGAAGGCATGGCTGACTCTACCGCCCTGCCCTGCCCTTCCCAGCCCTGCTTCCCCCCTCCAAGCTCTCCCGGGGAAGGTACCCTGACAAAAAAACGCCTGTACTTCTCAGAGTTACGAACACCTCTCAAAAAAGATATAGAAAAATTTAAACATACGCACCTTTCTAGATTACTGTCTGGAAGAGTTACTTGGCATTTTCTTACAGCATGTGTAGTTTACTGATCCAAGCTTTAATTAAGCATGTTCTAACCAATGCTTTCTCCTTCTGTTGAGCTGCATTCACTATTCTGAAGTTATTATGGAAACAAGGTTAATCAGGGTAAAAAAGTTCCCGTTGACAAGCTGATTCACTTTTTTAAGCAACGGCTGGACACAGCAAGTCAAAGCAAGGCAGCAGGTAACTGCCAAGAGGCAACTGCATGCAAACAACTAACTGAGGAGAAAACTACTTGTCCTTGGAAGAAACCACTCCAAGTTAGGACTGAAAGAAAACTTTCCACGTCTGTCAAATCTGCCTTGGTCCTACTCAGGCCGCTGACATTTCCCAAGTTGGATCTTCACCGCCTTCCTCTAGCATTTCCAAATTCAACTTTTTTTTTTTTTTTTTTAATAGCAACTAAGAACAGACTGCAACAAAACACTCGGGTCACATTTTCATCATGCTGTTTCTCTCTGGTTTGAAAAAAGATTTGGAAAGCATTACGCACCCTAGGCACAATACCCAGCTTTGCTCTGCCAAGAAAAACTAACGCTAGAAAAATGTTCAGATGATTTCAAATTGTACGCACATCTGCCCTTTTTGTCACCAGGGTTCTCTTGTTTGCTTGAGGCTTTTATCTCTGTGTTTTGAGAATGAGAAAGGAGAATCCCAGCCTATCGCAGAAGTATCAGGAATGAATAAAAAGTACACAAAACGCTACCCAAGGAAGCCACGTGCGATGAAATGCACAAATATGCTCTTACTGTGTGGTGTACTTGTCCCATCTCCTCCCCAGTGCTTCAGATAGTCTCAAACAGTTTCCTCATCTGCCTCATCTCCTTACCGAAACACTATGCCCTCTCAATACTTTTTTTTTTTTTTTTTTTTTTTTTTTGTTCCTCTGGTTAAAACTACCGACAGAGCCACAATGGCTCACTTGCTGCTAAGCAGAGAAAGTTAAAAGGCACTGACTTGCATGCAAATGTATGCTCAGCTCTGATGATACCCTATGCGTCTGCCTAAACTCTTAGTTTGCTATAAATTTATAAACTCAGAAGCATTTTAAAGTCTTCAAGAGTAATGTGAAAAAAGAGGAAACTCAGACCTTTGCTTTCTGACAAACTCAGAGTTTCCTCTAGCCAGTATTAAACATGCTGTTGACCCACATCGGAAAAGTGCAAAAAACGTAACTCCTCCAACAAATGACTAATCTGAAGTCCCTTGGAGAAAACTGCAAGTGTCACTCACTTGTCAGCTTAAAGGCTGCCGGCGAGTGACAGCCGGTATCAAAGACTAAGCTTTGAGAGCGCGGGCACGTTCCCCTCCCGCAGCGGCCGGGGCAGGGAGGCGACGGCCGGCGGTCGCAGCCGCC